AGGAGAACTTGATGTGAAACAACTGAAGAGTACAAGAATTTATGACAACTGTGGGGTTTTGTCTGCCAAAAAGAGTACCAAACCAGAGTGCCAAAGCCACTTTTTCATTCGGAATACAAAGAACACAAGGACTTACATCTATTTCTTCCGGAACACTGTGTGATTTCATAGATGAAAGGAGTTCCATTACGGGAATGACTTCTCCTGTCAGCATTGGAATGATGCTCTGGCCCTGCACAATAAATAAAATGCTTGAAGTAAAAGCACATTGTGCAGTATTAGAAGTTACTACTAACACGAACTTGCAATATTACATGCAAAACATCTTTAACTTCCTATTGTTTGGAAGTGTGGTATGGGCGGAAGTTGATGCATAGGCTTCGTGGGCTTTATTCATCAATAATTAGGAACTGGAAACATACATTTTGCTTCTCAACGTCATGTCTTAAAATGTATTTCCAGGGTCCTATGCCAATTTTCACAATCCGTTTGATTGGCCTAGACAAGAAGTATTTGGAGTGAGATAATTTGATCATACCATATTACATGCAATTACTGTTAAGCATTTTAGATCAAAGTCTGATATTTTAACAATGACAGGAAACCAAAACCAGGCATATTAGTTATTAACATACAAAATTACTATCTGATTTATCTATCACAAGAAACTGAAGCCACAATTTCATTTTTACAACTTTCAGAAATCAAATTCTTTTCACAGTCTTATCCATTAGGTCTCCAACCACATTCCAACATGACAGACTCCGTACGTCTCTGTAACTCGAGAAAGTAATGACCTAGTGAAAAACCATCCTTGACAGGAGGCGAGCATGAATCTATGGAAGCTACTACCTTTACAGAGCTTCAAGTTCAAGTAAATGACTTTCCTTTTCTGAAAGGTAATATTCTTCATAGATTTTCACTTTACCCATAAAGTGATGAAATATATTTTCCTTCAACTTGTTCACAGCTTCCATCATCCTATCTTCAGAAACTTTGCCTCCTGTGCATGGCAGGTCATCAGCCAGTCCAAAGTATCTTCCTGGATCCCAAAAATAAGAAGCAGCACCAACTTCTACCAGATGCAGTCAAATAGTTTTGTGATGGTGTGCCATACGCATCAACTAGATGGCCCTTACCTGATCCTCCATTCTCTCCGTGCCTTCCAAGACAATCTTCTGGAAATGTTCTTGCCTCTCCTGAGCAAGAGAAGCAGTTAAATATAAACGCTCTGGTATTTGTTTATATATGTATGCACACAACAGTCAAATGGTACAGTTTCTTCCCTGTGGAGTCACGCTTCTTAGATTCAAATTTCGAAGTTCAAGTCTTTTTTCTTTTACAGAGTTGACATTAGCGGGAAGTGATGTCATTTTAAACAGATCAATGCTCCCTGCTCTTTCCCCCACCAAACCTCTCACATGCTTGGGCAGGAGTAGCAGGAAAGGGAGGGTGTGATGACAATGACAAAACATTTAGTTTCTTCATTACAGATCAAGAAAATGCCAAATGATCAGATTATGGTGCAGAATTCCACTTTATGTATGGACTTTTATTTTCAAATGGATAAGGTACAGGCTGATGGTTCCTGAGGCGGCAAGAGAAAAATGAGATCTCCAGAATGAGAAAAATTATTTGTTTGGGGAGGGTAGGAAAAACAGGACTTTCCCCCCCACACACATCTTAAGACACTGACAAGTCTTCCAAACATTGTTTTATAACCAAGTACAGGAGACATGAAACCTCAAAATACACAAAACACAATGTACAAGAGTGGACAAAGTTCTCAAAACAGACTCATCAGCAGCCGACTAGCGAACTGCATTCAAAATGCAACTTACAATGGAATCAAGTTATTATTCACAAAGAAAATTCGGCGTTAGTCACTGGAACAATCAATACAATGTGCAAAAAGTGGAAGATGCTGCGAGAACTAATGATATCTTTTGCTAGATGCTGACAGGTTATTGCATTTTTATTGGTTACTCATTAGTTTCCTGTGACTGAACTACTCAAAGTTGATCAACTTCAAGTGGGAAAAGAGTTTACATAACTTTTTTTGAGCAGATGAATAGGGAACAAGCTACAGTAACTTGCCCTAGAACAGTAATAAAACTTGTCTAACCATCTAAAAGAAGCATCTGTGAAAAACAAAACTGGAACGAGGCAGATTCCTTCGGGGCACCTCCATCCTTGAGTTCAGTGTCAGTGAAGTAAGACAACCTTGCCAGTGAAGATCCTTTGCTTTAAAAGAAGTCAGTCTTCATGAAGATAAGGCTGAACAAATGGTGTAAGCCACTTCTTTTCAGAAATATAGCAGCTCAAAATTATTAGACAAACATCTGGAACATAAAATTGAAGTAGATAAAAGGGGTTTCTAATCCCATATAGACAACTTGCTTGGAGTCGCTTGTCCTTCTTTCTCAGTCTGAACACTGTTACATGTTTCTCCTAGTCCTTGAGTTCAGAAGGATTCTTCTCTTCTAAAGCCTAGCTGGAACTGTTGTCCGGCTCTACACAGAACTCACGAAGAGCTGATAATGACAACCATTAGAAATTCCAGAACAGATACATAGCTCCTTTCAGATATGACTTCAACATTTTTTGTTCTGTGGTAGCCATAGTTGCTGAATTGCAACAAAATGCAAATTACAAAATAAGCCTGTTTTAATTCAATATTTTCATTCTACAATGCATGCCTAAATTTTAATCTACATTTTCAAAGCAGTTTTCTCTCTTCTGTGTAAGGCTGCAGAACTGCAGATATATGCAGGGATCTCTGATCTTCCTCAAAAAAAAAAAAAAAAAAAAAAGAAAAAAGAAAAGAAAGACAATAAATGTCTATTTCAGAATGTATCACTGCCTCAGCTAATCCAGTTGACCTATCTGCTTCAAGAACATCTGAAAAAGAATGAAGAACTTAATGACTAATTTCTGAGGAAACTAGTAGAAAACATTTTTTTGTCATTCTCAATGCCACTTGAAGGCTATTTCTACCGTGGAACCATACTGATATGTATCAACGTCCAAAAAGAGAGAAGACAAACTATAGTTAAGAATGATGGACAATTCTGATTTAACCACTCACATTAAAAGTCAGTACAGAGGACACTAAATGACAGAGAAGCAATGTAATCAAGAACATGAGATAGCATTCATTTACGTCAAAGCACTAACATTCAGCAGGCTTTTAGAAGGCTAGATTAGGAATGAAATACTTGTTTTTCTACTATACTGAAAATGAACTTTATGTCCTATCCTTCCTCTGAAAAATAAACCCCAGAAGTATCAAGAGCCAATGTGACTGAAAACACTGCCAGCCATCATCAGGCAATATATTAAAAATCAATGGAGTTTGTTCATGTAGCAAAAAGGAAACACCACCACAAAAATTAACATCAGCTTATTATTTCTGGAATCTTAATTAGTTCAGATAAGAGCACTCAAAAAGGAAGTTTAAAGTATGTTGACTAGAGGTCTCAAAACAGAAGAGGAACAACAAACATGCATCACCAAACACATTACAGCTGACATGCAATCTACTGCTCCAAGACAACTTGTACTCCATGAAGATGACAGAGATTTTAATTTTTATTCTTAGAATGTTATTTATTTTAAACAAAAATACATAACAATTTTCACTTAATAAGGAAATATCCATAAAGTACCCAAAGGTAAGAGTTGCATTCTTCAGAAAACTTTAGCATGTTTTCCCTTTTGAATTTCAAGAGTAGAAATATTTGGACTAAAGTAGGTGTATTTTCGTGGTTCTCCCATTACTTTTACACAATTTAACACCTGCCTAACTGTTCATTGATCCCCTTTTTTTGAACAATAAAACTGTAACAATGACAACATTAATTGTATCAGTTCCCTTTTCTGGACCTCAACAGTGAAAACAATGATTTGAAACACAGTAAATTTACAATTCTACCTAGTTTAAATACACTAATTAACACAGTTAAAAGCAACAACTTATATCACATTCAGAGAGATGAAAAACTCTACAGGATACCTATTTCACCTAGACAGCCTGGTACAGGTTATATAATATTACCAGGATAAATCATGTGGCTAAAAACCCCAGCCTTGAATTTGCTGACATATTTTTAACTTTCAACCTTCAAAATTGTATACATGTAGGGAGGTCAGCCTCCTCTGAGTTTTTGTGTCTGGATTGCTACGTAACAGGTGTCACAGAATCTTAATTCTGGCTTTTGCTCAAAACAACTGTTTTTAGTAATGAACAATAAACCTACCTTATGCATCCATATTCTTCCTTTCCTTATAATATGTGTTAACCTATCCACGCACACCCTGTGAAGGGGCAGGTAGAAGCCAAGTTCACTTTGTGGAAGTATAATTGATAGTCCATATGTGCTTCTGTCTCCATTCCAGTTTCCATCAAAGATTAATGACACAATGATTACCCTTTTTTCTGCCAAGACAAAGAACTTCACATCTATTGCACCGCTTTCTGCATTCCGAAGTATTTCTCCATTCAGGGTGTGGTTAGCAAGGAAAGTTATCTCACCATCACTGAGAAGTACCTGTTCTGTCTTTGGGGCCCAGATATGCCGCACTCGGGGGCCAAGAATATTGTCCCAGTAAGCAAAAGTGGCAGCTAATAAAGGTGACTCGCCATTCAAAGAGATCTCTGTTTTAGCAACTGCAGGAGACGGTGGTGGACAAAGAGCTGACATGCCTGCTTCCTCTCTCACGTGTAACTGAAATGTTTACATTACCTTAAAAAAAGTTTTCACAGAAAAAAAAACAAAATTAGAGCAGCACTTATTATTATCTCATCTTCTTTTGTTTCCAAATAAGACTTCAAGAGACAACCTGACTTCTACATCTGAGATTTCATTGTAGACTTCAATCAAGAAGGAAGTGTATATACATACCTTCCACATAACGAAGTGGTACGCTTTACAAACATGAGTCAGACCTCAAATACCCTTTACTCACTATGCAAGTATGATGAGCCTGTACAACATTCAACTTGTGTAAGAAAACTGACATAAGATAAATATACCCTTTACATCATTGGTGACATGCAGGGTGTTGCAATACAAGACAAATGCTCAGCGTTTTATAGAACGTATTGATGGCAAATTCTTCATATTGTGTAGACACAAATCCTTAAACATCTTCCCTAGCCATTTCCAAAAACTCTACAGCTTCCCCATTTTGATGGGGCTGCAGAACATAACAGGAAGTTTCACCTTCCCTAAAAGTTATGCCAGAGTCACAGTAACACATTAAATAAAGTTTTACAAACAAATTCAACCCAGGATGGAAAACTGTAAAAGCTAAAATGCATTTATCTTGACGAAACTTCACATGACCAGAACTCGGCCTTCCTCTCCCCTCTGCCTGCAGCACTCCACATGGTAACAGAGGGGAGCCGCCCCCCAGTATCAAAGGCGCAGTGACACCCAACTCACTGACACAGCTGTAACTCGCCAGACCTCTGGCACCATTTCGTTTCATGTATGTGAACACTTTTTTCCTCGTGAGCGTCCCTAGTAAGATCGTCCAGGTGCACTTCCTCACAGCAGGAAGGTAAAGCACCTTTCTCTTCTGCTACTTCTCAGGCCGACTGACCAACACTAGGCCGTCCCCTGCCAGCCGGCGACCAGCCCGGATGGCAGCAGGGAAGCCGAAGCCATCTGAGGCTCTAAACGTGCCTTCACGGTTTTCAGGGAAGACGAAAGCGAGCGTCAGTCACCCCTGCCCCCTTACGCTCACGGGCTGACCAGACACTTCCTCTCACCGCAGCCTTTCCAGAAAATCCAGCCGCCGCCAGCCAAGGCAGCTGCGGCACACGACGACCGACCGGAGGCCGATCCGCCGCGCTCCCAGCCGGGATCAGGCCCGTTTCGCACCCTGCAGGTCTGGTCTGAACTTCGGAAAGGACCCGCCTCCCGGGGAGGCGGCTGGGAGGCGGGCCACGCAGGCCCCCTTCTTGGC